TGATGCTGATTAAACTGTAGCCTTTGTCGTGTCCCAAGACTTCTAGTTCTTCCTGTTTATTCTCCATACTCTTAGCATTAGTGAAAAGACATCTCAGATGTTTGGCAGTTTGCCCTTACGTTATCCCTTTTGTTCTTCTATAGCCCTCCTGCAATTTCCCACTTCCACTGTAGAAATGAGTTGTCAACCAGACTTCCAGTTTTCTGATTCACCTGAGGTCTTCCCTGCCCACCCTCTTGAAAACTAGTGAGCTAGGAGTCTTCTCACTCATTCTTCTCTAGTAATAAAACTCTCATGTTCTGAAAAGCAATGTTTTTTCGCTGATTAAACAATGCTCCATAGGATGGAAATTCTCCTAAGGGTCTTCCTAAAAAATGGTGCAGAAAGTTGTTAGTAGGAAAGTGGTCTTGTGGGATAAAAGTCCCCAGTCCAATTTCAGACTTCTCAGTTCCAGAGAGAGGGTTGATGGCGTTCATAGTTTAAACCAACGCTAGTTTTGTCAAAATGCTAGCACATGGGCAAATATAGGGTCCCATACTCTGCATCAGGCTGATGTTGTGCAAAACTAGCTCCAGTTAAAAGCTTGGGAGAACCCTTTCTAATTCCCAGCAGTACAATACACTAAATAGTAATGTATATTAACTAAGACAGTGGTACTTTTCAAGGCTGCAGTCATCAAGGAATAGGCAGATGATGAGCGTAGCAGGGATAGTATGTTGACTCTCCTCCCTCACAATCATGAACAGCTGGAACATCCTCAGTTTACAACAGGTCTGACACTGCAAAGAAACAAGAACAAATATTTGGAAATCTAATCGTATAATATAGCTGAACGCTGACAAGAGGACCCCACTCTAGGGGGTCTGGCTGCTATGCGAGAGAACAAATTACATGCTATTGAAATCTGCTGTCCTGCTGCCCAGCCTCTGAATGACTGACAAGGGTGAAGTTCAGTCACTTGACTTCCTCTACAATTCAGATGTGCTTCTGAAGCAAAGATTAAGAGGTTATGAAGGAAGATGTTTCATACAATGTGATCAACTCTGTCCCTCAGCTAACATTTGAGGTTAAACATTGAGGTGTTTAAAATAAACATGCTTATTTTATACATTTCAGTAAACAGACCAACTTCTCATCTACGTGGAGATAACGCAGAGGAAGATTGGACCTATTCTTCACGGGGGGGGGGGGGGGGGGGGGGGGCGGCCATCCTTCCC